CATCTAAGCAAGTTTCCGAAGAAAGCTGGAGCCGCGCACCCCGAAGTCTGGAGACAGAAAGCTGAATGTGTTCCGAAGTCAACCAGAAAGAAAGCCCCCGCTGAGGGGGGTCGGGGGGCGCCTTGGCCCGAGAATGGGTTTTGTGTGAAATTACTTTTCGTGGGCGGCGAGGAGCAGTACCAGCCTTGGGCGGGGGTCCGGCGTTGCTGCTTGCACAAGCGCTGGGTTTTCCTCACTCCCCAAGAAGAACACTCACAGAAAAGTCCTCCCTAAAGAGAACCGGGGGGCGGGGAGGTAGAGGGCAAAGGCATGTTCTAGAATCGGTGAGTGGGCGTCAACATTAAAAATCACTGGGAAGGTCTGGCTGGTGTGGCTCAGTGGTTGAGCATCGACCTATGAACCAGGAGGTCACTGATTCGATTCCCGGTCAGGGCACGTGCCTGGGCTTCGGGCTCCATCCCAAATTACTAAATATAAATAAATATATATTTAAAAATCACTGGGAAGGCTGCCGTTTGGGAGTCAGGAGGCATAGACCAACCCACCCACTTACCTTGTCTCTCTCTCTCTCTCTCTCTCTCTCTCTTTTCTTTAAATAATGACTGAAAAAAATAAATCAGGGTTGGCCCTGAGTCCTTGGCAAATTAGTTAAGTTTTCCAAACTGTTTCCTCGGCTATAGAATCAAGACGCGAACAGCTAGCCCGCTCCCCACCCCCCAGGGCGCGGAGGATCAAATGACTGGAGCTACGAGAGTGACACAATGTGTAGGAAGCCTCTGAGGCCCACGTGCCACCTACACCGCGGGCATCCTTCCTCCTAGCCGTTCTGCACGGCCTCCCCCTTGCGCCAAGCGCACGGGGACCAGCTGCGCATCCTTTCCCAGGCCCGCGGGAGGTCCGACAGCCAGGACGGAGGGCCAGGTGGGGACCCTCGAGAGCTGGGAGGGGGCCCCTGTGCGGCTCCCTGGTGCCCTGGCTCTTGGCAGGCGTGAGTTCCAACAGGAGCTCCGGTGGCCAGCAGGCCGGGCAGCGATGGGGCAGGGGGAGCGCCGGGCCCTCCTCCGGGCTCCGCACACCTCAGGGCGAGGTGCCCACAGAGCAGCCAGTTCAGAGCCTCCTTCATGAGGAAAGAACACAGGCTGAGCAGCCGGGCAGGAGGAGACGCAGCCAGAGCCACTCGGCTGCCAGCGCCTGGGAGCCTGACATTTGGAAAGAGCTGGCCTGGGGGAGCCAAGCACTCGGGACAGGGCTCCTTCCGGCTCCGGCTCCGGCTCCGGGAGTGTCCAGAGGGGAGCCGGAGGAGGAGGAGGAGAATGACTCAGCTAAAAGGAAGAGAAATGTATTTTTAAAGAGCGCCAGGATGGAAGGCACAGAGGCACGAAGTGCGGCCCCAGGATGGGGTCCAAATGCCTTCTCAGCGGAAGTGGGGCGAGTCTGCAAACAGCCAGAGCGCTCGCTGGGGTTCCCAGACCAAGAATAACACATGGAAACCAAGAGCCCCTTCTGGGCCTGCCAGGCTGCGGGCCGGGCCCTGCGCTCCGTTAGGCTCTGCAGATGGAGTGCGCGCTGACGCAGGAGGTGGGCAGAAACCCCTCCCAGTCGGGCTCACATTCGCCCAGCAGGCCGGGCTGGGAGCAGGCCACAGGGCTCCCCTGCTCCTTCCACCCCAGAGATGCTGGGGGACCAGAGGGAAGGGAGGCCGGAGGAGGCTCCCCTCCCCGGAGTTGGCACAACTCGTCCCCTCCAGCAGCCACGGTCCGGTGACCCCGATTGTAAAAGCATCATTTTGAAATCTTCAGTGGAGAACAAGCATGAGGAGGAGGAGGAATTGGACCATGGAGAGAAGCCACCTCATGGCAGCTCTGCCCGCCCCTCCCCGGTCACCCACCAAGCTTTGGGGTCATGTCGGGGTCCTACCTCCTCCCCGACATGCACTGCGTGGAGAGTCCCATTTCTAGAAAAGGGAGCGATGGGAGGAAGAGGTCAGCTCAGCATGACCCACGAACTGTGACCTCTCCGGGGGCCTGTCAGCCCCGCTGGCCTGTGTACAAATCTCCCAGCGTTTGCCCAGGGTTGTTGTGAGAAGCAAGTGAGGGAATGAATGTAACGGGGATTGGCCAACTAGAAGGCATCCCCCTGGAGGTTCAGGGAATGATGGCTCCCAGGTCAAATCTTGCCTGTGTGTTTTGTTTGACTCAGATGTTGATGTTTTTTAAAAAGCCAGTATGTACAAGCCACAAAAACCAGCTTCTCTTCAAGAATGAAAACATCTACCAGCCCTGAGCCCACATCCCAGTGCGCCACAGTCCCCACCACTCCCTATTGCCTTCCACCCAACCAGCCACTCACATACTTGGCCAGAGTGGTCCCTGGTGGGCCTCTCATGGATGTATCTAGGCCACTCAGGGTCCTTCCGTTGCTAAGGGGGATATAAAGAAGAACATTCAGAAAAACCTCAAGAGTTTCAGGGAATTAAAAGATAAGAGAGAAAAATGAAAAATTCAGTGAAACAACTGGGAGATCAATTTGAGAAAATCCCTCGGGAAGAGCTGGATGGTGGAAGAGAAAAGAGGAGAACGAGGACCAGTCCAGGAGATTTAACATCTGACCAGCAGGCGTTCCAGCACAAGGCAACAGAGAAAACAGGAGGTGGGGGGGTAGGGGGTGGCCTAAGGAGCTGGCACTGAAGAACAAGAGTTTTCAGACTGAAAAAGCCTGAACCAGGACCCAGGACAGTGAGGGAAACACCCCCAACAAGATGCATTCTTGTGAAATTTCGAAACTCCTAGGGAACAAGAGGAAAATCCCAAAAGCTTCCAAAGAGGGGGAAAAGTCACAGAAAAGAACCAAGAATCACTTTGGCCTTGAACTTCTCCCAGCCACTGTGGGAGCAGAAGAGAGCGGTGCCTGGCACTCCAGGCGAAGGAGCTCTCCACCAGGCAGGCCATCCACTCACAGGCACAGCCCAGATGTTCCCTTCCTTTTAAATCCTCCCCCAAGGAGAGTTCCCCATTGACTTCTTAGAGAAAGTGGAAGGGAGGGGGAGGGAGTGAGAGAGGAACATCGATGTGAGAGAGACGCATCGACTGGTTGCCTCCCACACCTGCCCTGACTGGGGCCAGGGATGGAGCCTGCAACTGAGGTACTTGCCCTTGACCGGATTCGAACTCGGACCCTTCAATCCAAGGGCTGATGCTCTATCCACTGAGCCAAACCGGCTAGGGCCAGATATTTCCTAAACATGCAAGGTCTCAAAAAATTTCCTTCCCAAATATCCTTTCACAGGAAGCTCCTGAGCGCTGTGCTCCGCCAGAATGAGGGAGTAGCTGAGAACAAAGACATGACCTGGTCCAGGAGGCAGAGGCCGAGAGCAGGAGAGAGGGAGGGGCTTCCCGGGATGGCGGGAGCGGCGTCGGGGTGACAGCTGAGCAGGTAGCCCGCGGGGAGCAGGGGACAGAGAAGACGACAGGGGATCACTTCGTGTCAGAGGGCCGGCGTGGGGGTCCGGGAGTGATGCTTCGTGATAGGAAACCAAACAAACCAAAAGTGAGCAAGGGACTTGAATGGGCACTTCACACAACAAGGTGTGCAGCCCGGCCGGCGGGCTCAGTGGTTGAG